TGCCCACAAAACAGATATTAGACAAGATCACAAAGAGAAAACAGTTTCTTGCCACTTTAACCAGAAAGGACACTCTCTAAATGACTTAGCCACCTGCATTCTGCTACAAAGACCTTTTACATCTGCACTTGAAAGGGAATCCTCTGAACTGTCATTCATGTTAAAATTCGACACTTACCACCAGGGACTTAACAAGTCTTTGAACTTTCTCACCCATTATCAAGACAGTTTCCCCAATTATCACCTGTAATACCATTAACTCACAAACATCCCACTCTCCCTACCTTTAATATCAGCAATTCACAGACACTTACCTTCCTTCCTCCCCCTTCCCACCCCCCCGCATCCCCCTTCTGTTCTGCAATGTGATTTGTCCTTTTCATATTTGTTCATTTTTTTTAATTGTATCCTTTGGTATATATGGTTGTGACTACTTTCTTCCACTATTTGATCTGAGGAAGTGGGTCTGGCCCACGAAAGCTTATCATGTAGTAAACCATCTTGTTAGTCTTTAAAGTGCTACATTGTCCTGCATTTTGCTTCAACTACCCCAGACTAACATGGCTACATTTCTATCACTCAAAACCCAGTTCCTGAGGGAGCAGAATTCCATAACATATGTTCTGCATCATTTATATTTTGCCTGCAGAGCTTATTTTCTGAATAACCTGGAGAGTGGGGGGAAATTTACCCTTTGAGACAGCCTAGCAATATTGAAACAAAAATTGTTTTTCGCTCCTGTGGTGTTATACTGAAGGGATTAAAGTATTATAACTATTTGCAGACCAGCAGTGTACTGTCATTATCATCACATAGGGCATGTCTACAGCAGGAAACTATTTCAAAATTGCATAAATCGACTTAATAACTCCTGATTTGACAAAATTGAAATAGCGTGTCATCACTACAGAGAAACCTCAAAATTAATCTGAGGCAAGCTCTGTTAATGTTACCTTGACTTAGAGCCCCAGTTATCACTAGGGAGTAATTGGTCTGAATTACTCTGGGGAGTAGTTATTTTGAAATAGCAGCACCGAAGTGTCCACACTAGTGCTATTTCAAAATAATGATTTGGAAGTTAGTGCTATTCCTCAAGAAAACAGATTTCAAAATAAGTGGCCTCTTAGTTCAAAATAGCAGGCGTGGTAGTTTGGAAGCTCCGATTATAAATTAAGTGGAGCGTTATTTCAAAACTAGTCAATTAGCCGGTCATAAGATGGAATTTTCAGGTCTCTCCTCCTCATTGGTCTTCTCTCCTGAGCCTCTGGTCTCTCGCTCCGTCTCTCTCTCTCTCTCTCCTCCTACTATCTCCCCCCCTCTCTCTCAGCTCTCCTCAGCCTTTTGTATCGCTCTACATCTCTCTCTTTCTCTCCTCCCCCGCCTGCCTCTTACTCTCTCCCCGCTCTCCTCTGTCTCCATCGGGAATGCATGCTCGTCCAGGCCCCACCTCCTGGGCATGCACATCACCGCCCCACCATGCTGCATGGGTAGCGTGAACCCCAAACGGCTGTTTGTGCTGCTTGCTCCCACACAGTGGCCCAACTGAGCGGTGCAGAAGTCAGCCAAGCACTGTGGCGGGAGGCTACAGTGCCTCCCAGAGGGAACAGCCAGCATTTCAGCATTACAAAGTCACAGACATTGGGCTACTATATATATGTTAAAGCCCTAGGCTACGTCTACACTGGCCCCTTTTCCGAAAGGGGCATGCTAATTTTACAGGTCGTAATAGGGAAATCCGCGGGGGATTTAAATAAAAATGTCCGCCGTTTTTTTCCGGCTTTTAGAAAAGCCAGAAAAGAGCGTCTACACTGGCCCCGATCCTCCAGAAAAAAGCCCTTTTCCGGAGGATCTCTTATTCCTACTTCGAAGTGGCGGACATTTTTATTTAAATGCCGCAGGGGATATTTAAATCCCCCGCGGATTTCCCTATTACGACCTGTAAAATTAGCATGCCCCTTTCGGAAAAGGGGCCAGTGTAGACGTACCCCTAGTGTAGACCAGGGAATATATAGCTCCCTTATAACATTAGAGTTAGCTTTCAAAGGTAGTCTGTGCCAAATAAAGTACAAACCCTGCTTACCATAATGACTAGTTTTTAATAAGAATACTTTTTAAGGAAAGTTCAAGGCTTATTAATTGGAAGATTTAAAATGCACAATTTAAAACAGTGGGTAATTGATTCCTATTCTTATGCACTGTAATACCTTTTCAACAGGAAAAAGAGCCTGGGATTTATACAGTGGAATATCCATAGGGAATACTGATTGTATGATTAACATAATCATTCAGCTTGTTATCATTGTTCCACACAAGTTCAGTGAAAAATGAATCTTTATGCCATCTGAACTAAAGCATGTGAGGTAGCAGTTGTACTGTAAGAAAAAAGATCAGGTCAAATATGCCATCCAGAGCTATCTTTTACATCTTACATTTCAAGCTTTCAGTTATCTGAAGCTCCTCTATTTTATAATGTTCACACTTTATATCTACTTGTGTGTATATGTATGCCAGTAGAATGGGTTGCTTTACTAGTTTGTCTTTTACTAACTGAAGTGTACTCAACATATATAACTTATGTGTTAAAATTTGAATCACAGAATGAATTGCAGTAAAATGCTAGGCACAATCAGACACTAAAAAGGGTAACTTTACTTCTCATTAGTAATGCAACAATTCTTCCACCTAGGTTTAGCCATACTTTTAAAATGAGGCTTTACACAGTAGGGCTACGTCTACGCTACAAGGGTTTTGCACAATGGTTACAAAGAAAATAAAGATAGAAAATAGAAATAATGGTACCAAGTGACAGCTTAATCTTTAAAGAGCTCTAAGTCTATGTGTACACTTAAGACAAAGGAACACATCCAGGTACAATTTTTACCCCCTTCTGTGCCTCTCGGTCCCAGAGTGTCAGGTCAGGGCTGGTCCCTCAATTCCTAGGAAAGACAAATACAAGGTGGGCGTCCCCGTGGAACCTCGTGAGGTCAAACACCTAACCCGACCAGCAGATAGGTGGTAGATTGACACTCAGAGTAAATGTGCTGCTGTAAATCTTTATACCCATAGGGGCCCGTATCCTCTTTCTTATCTAAGATGCCAAATTGTGTTGGCCCGTCTTTGTGACACCAGTTCTTACAAGTTTCAATTTAATTTACACTTGTAAGAGAGATAACTAAATTGTAAGTACTGGACATTCTTAACTGGGCGGGAGATTCCTCCACCCGCGGACAGTGTGTGTTCGTATCAATATAGGTTTCAGTCAAGGGCACTCCTTGGCAGACTCTTGGTCAGCAATTGGTATATCTCTGTTTACAGCCATCCAGGGTCACTGAGCCTGCATATCCGGGCGTTCTATTCAAGGCTTTTACTGCTCTGTGTGCCCTGTATGCTCCAGGAAAGCAAAAATGGATATTACAGGGGGGTTCCTGTCTGGCTACACCATTCTGTGAATGGCCATCAGAGCTTTCTTGCGCAAGAGCATCCATGTACTGTGGATGCTCTCTTGCCCAAAAGCATATTGCTTTTGCAATGTGCTTTGAGGTGTTGACGTGCTCTTGTGCAAGAAGTTTTTATGCAAAAACTCTTGCACAAAAGGCTTCTTGCACAAGAAGCATGTAGTATAGATGTAGCCTATGTCTTGATCTCTAAGCTTTTAATGAAAGCATGTGCAAATTAATCTATTACAGGTTGAAGATCTCTAGTCCCGTATCCTCGGAACCTGACCGGTGCCGAACCAGAGAATTTGCAGAACCACGGGAGATCAGTATTGTCTAGCAGCATTCCCAACACTTCCACTGCTTACTGGGCTCTTAAAAGACATTGGCTACGTCTACACTGGCCCCTTCTTCGGAAGAAGCATGCTAATTTTGAAAGTCAGAATAGGGAAATCCGCGGGGGATTTAAATATCCCCCACGGGATTTAAATAAACATGTCTGCCGCTTTTTTTCCGGCTTTTTTCCCTGAAAGTAGGAATAAAAGATCCTCCAGAAAAGGGCTTTATTCCGGAGGATTGGGCTAGTCTAGACGCTTTTTTCTGGCTTTTCCCCAAGCCGGAAAAAAAGCGGCAGACATGTTTATTTAAATCCCGTGGGGGATATTTAAATCCCCCGCGGATTTCCCTATTCTGACTTTCAAAATTAGCATGCTTCTTCCGAAGAAGGGGCCAGTGTAGACGTAGCCATTTAGGGGTAAATTAGAGCTAAATTACAGCACAGAACATTGAGAGTCAGGACTGGTGGCTACTCACAAACTTTATGGGACAGCGGGAAACACGGCCACACTCATGATAAGTGGACATTTGGCTAACTAACCTCATGCTGGACCATGGAGGTTCAACCTGTATTAGGAAATCTGCTTTCAAGCACAAATAATCTTTCAAGTGTAGACTTGGCCAGAGAGATTAAGTGACTTGCTCAAAGACATGCGGGGTTTCAGTTGAGAGCTCATTTCTGTCTCAGTTTGACAGAACAGAGACTTGAGCTTGAATCTCCTACATCTCAGGTGGGTGCCCTATTAACATTTGGCTCATCTACACGGGATCAAATGTCAGAAAAAAACCCCCTCTTTTGGAACATCACCTCTTCATAAAACGAGGTTTACAGGGATGCTGAAAAAACGTGTCTGCTTTTCCGAATTTTTTTTTTGGACACAGGATACAGCTTGGATATCCTGAAAAAGCTCTGTAATCTAGACATATCCTGAGTCTTTGAAAGTCAGTATTCCATTTACAGTCATGGTGCAAGAGACTAGTGTAATTACAAGAGGAGATGTTTTTGGAAACAGGCCCTTAATGCTAATGGAAACAGGACTTGACTCACTGCTGCCTTATATAACCACTTTTACAGGTATGAAATGGGCATAAAAGGCTGCCAAATGATAGGTGTACCCTAGTACACCTACTTGGCCCTGGTTTTGCACAGGTGTAGATGATTAAATAAGACTTTGCCAGTGAATCAGACCTGATAAGCATCACATTTCTCATTAAACTACATTTTTTAAATCAATATTGTTTTCTGAGTTCCAGTGATTAAGATTGACCTGCTTAGCAACGAATCTTGCACATAGTCACTTAGCTTTTGCATGAAATTCCCCTTATCTTATCTGTGGGTGTCTTGTCCATTGTGACAATTAATATTCCAAAACAGGATTCTTGCATCATCTTTGTGTATTCTGCAAGAGATCTTGCTGCTCTGCAAGTTATTTCATAATTGTATAGAGTGAGGATTGAGGGATGCTGAGGTGTAGTTCTGCTCTGTGAAGAAATGGTAAAAATGGCTTTGTGAGGATTCTCATAGATTATATTTTTTCAGTGGCTTGCATATCATGTCTGTTCAGTTTACAAATAAGAGGCTTTTTTTTTTACTGCCAACTAGACAGAAATCAGTTCTCTTGAGGTAAAAGGGAACATTTTCACAGTAACTTTTCAGAGCATTACATCAAAGTGTAGTGTTAGAAGTCAATGATTTGTTTTCAACATTTTTTTTCTTGTAGAATTCTCTTTTTCTTACCATTTTCAGACAAAATTCCTTGCTCACATAAATAAATACAACACAACTGAAGTTAATGAGATTCACTAATTTACAACAGTGGAGAATGTGGTTGAATATATATGCTCTGCTTTCCCCAAGAATGGCAAATCCTTTCAAATTTCTTTATGCAAGAATGCAAAAGATGACTTTCGAAGGGCTGTTTTTATGGCAACCATTGGCAGGGAGACAGCCTGCTATCAAACTTGTGCTATCATAGCAAACTATTAGATAAATTCAATAGCACATTATATGATCACCAGTAAACTGGTTTAGACATTTTTATAGTCATAGTCCCTGCATGCTATAAAACTATCTAATCACAATTTCCATTCTCATTTCACTGATTGAAGTAGAGCATTGAAGTTTCCTATTTCGTTTTTCCTGAGGCTTGATGACATTATGTAACCTAGTGTTGCCTGATTTTTGTTTACTAGCTTTCTTAAAACTTTATTATTCATTGAAAGATTAATATTAAACTGCAAAAAGACTCTTCGTCATAATTACTTCTTTACAATGTACAACTTAATGTGCTATAGCATATTTCTCACACATTGTATTCCCCAGATTTGTAATAAGTTAATACATGGCCTTATCCTGCAATTTTGCATTCATGTGAGTTGTCTACTTAAAGCTAACGGAACCACTTTTGAGGAGAGATGCAGTATTAAGACCATAGTTTCAAAACTTTATCTTTCTATTTTACTTTAGAAAAAGACGAAAAAGAGAGAACATACCTCGCTCCTGAAGCCTTTACTCACATGAGCCAGCCCTTGCTTTCTATAACAGTGCTATTGAGTAAGGAGCTCCCTCATGGGTAAAAAATGTGTGATCTCAGGCTTTTGGATGAGATTGCTGAAACAAAAAGATACAAAAAAGTTTGATGGCATGAGCAGAAAAAGAAAAGGCTCTTGTGCAATCTGGATTGAAATTGTTTGAGGGGATCTCATTCATAAATCAGATGAAGTGAGGGCAGGAGGGAGGGACATAATATTATTCCATTGTTATATTAACCATAAATGTGCATGTAACAGAAGACTCTGATTCTCTAGCAATATTTGCCATCTTAATCTTTTCAACAGAAGGGAAAATCTCAAATATCAACACTTATATTGTACAAAATTCTAGATTGTGTTATTTTCAGTTTCATGAGTTTGATCTGGATTGCAGTTACATGCTAATAACAAAGTAAATAGAGAAGGCACTGGAATAAGCTAGCTTTTTATCTTGGAGCATGTGATGTCAAAGCAAAGAGATTTGTCAATAGAACATGGAAACATTTATTTGGTTTATAATAGACATACCAATTCATTTGGAAGAACTACTGCTGTATTTTCAGGATAACTTATTTTTGCTTTTCATGTCACTTTACACAAGCATTTAACCTTCAGACTGTAAATCTTCTTGACACTTAACAAAGCTGCAATCCCTTTCTCTTTGCATTTAGAAACTGTTAATGAGAATTGTAAGGCTAAGGGATATACAAAAAGCAAAAGCCCCTAAATGCCTTTCCTGTTTTTAAAATTAAAATGATCAGGAGGCCAAAGAGTGCTTGACTTAAGTTAACTTGCACAAGTACAGCCTCAGGAGGATCTCATTCTATTGCTGAATCAAATTAATGTTGAAGGAGGAATAGGTATAATTAAGTGACTGCTCTCTTTTTGCCCTCCACCTGCTACCTGAAGTATCTGATTACCATTGGTCATTTTGTGTGACTTTAAACACATCTATCAGAGCTGCAAGAATACCAAAATACATTCCTGGACAGAAAATTTAGCTTCAGGAGCAGGGAATGGACATACACTTGGGCAGGCCTTTTTTAAGAAAATATGGAATTAGATCCATAGCTAGCATAAATCAGTTCTACTGAAGTCAGTGAATCAGTGCTACAGATTTACACTAGCTGAAGATTTGGATCACAGAACTGGAAAGTGAGGAAAATAATAGATAAATTATTAATAGTAAATTAGAAATGGATATTCAGACTTTATAAACAGACATAACTTCATTTAAGTTGACAGGACAGACAGAGCATGTTCTACACTGCTGCTTTTGTCAGTGTAACCCTGAGCAACATAAAGTACATTGACTTAAATGCTATCCCTACCTGCACTACGTAGCTGGGAGATAATGTCTCACCCACACAACTTCTGCTTCTTATGGAGGTGCAGTAATTATGCCAATGGGAGAGTGCTCTCTCATCAGTATAGTGTGTTTTCACCAGACGTGCAATAGCTGTGCAGTAGCATTGGTGCTGCCTCGCCAATAATGCCTTAGTGTAAACTTGTCCAGTAAATCAGAAAGTGCCAGAAGCAACATCATGACCATGATTTAGAGGCTGTAGATGTCAGAAAGAAAAACACACAACTGGACTATAACATCCTGAGGGCCAATAAACCTCTCTTCCCTCCAACAGTAAAATAATGATAATAATAATAATAATAATAATGTAATTATCTGCCACTTGGAGTTTTTGTGTTGCTGCTGTTGATATTCATTGGACATTCAATACTGTCTTCCTTAAACTTACATGGCACACAGTTCATTGTTACTGTGCCAAGCTGCAGTGAGAGATTAAAATGCCCTTGGTTCAATTTAGTGAATTTCACTGTAACCAACTGCCCATTATCTCCATTGAAAGCAATGGCATTCGATGTTGCAAACAGTCTTAAAATTTCATGCTCTGCACAAAATGAACTGGTTTCATTGTAATCTGTAATGGCAGCATGCTTTGAATGAAAATGTTATGGTTCTGTTTATAACATGTCATTTCTTGCACTGTCAGTGTCTGAAAATATTTCTTTTACAGTCTAACATTCCACCTGTTCCAAAAGTGTTTTGAAAGGAAATGATTTTAAATCTGAAGAAACCAGCCAATTATATTGATTGAGTGACAGTAGGTGATGACTGGCACTTTATCTATTTATATGTATTTGATATTTAAAAATTTGTAAGTATCCTAAAAATGGCATATGTTTGAGTGCTTCCCTGTCTCTTCACTTTTGGTATGCCACATGTCATCTTGGGTTCCTGAATATGAAAGCTTATGCATGGACTTTAAATATAGAATTAGGGCCTCTGGGCACAGGTTACAACTCCCTGGTTGATTAAAAGTCTGTCTCAGCAAAAATTAGACCATTGAGCATTGAGCACTCTAACTTCAGCCAATGGTGTAACTGTCAGTCTGAAGACCCAGATCTAGTGCAGCTCCATTCTACTATTATGCAGAACACCTCTACATGTCCTCTCTCTCTCCTAATATGCTTCATGTGAGGGCGGTATGCATATATGCCAGTGGAGAATTCGCCAACATAAGAGGAATTCTCTATCGGCTATTTCCAGCCATTTTAAGAGGCACAAAAGTAGCCTTAGTAATCAAGAAATTCCAGGTGTTAGGATCTCCTGAAACTTAGTAACAGTTTTGAGGTCTGAAGAAGTCCTCGATCTTTTCACGTGTATATGCCACTCTCTGGGAAATGCTGGAGTCAAGAATGAAGGATTCAGCTGCACATTGTAATGCCTAAGTGAACTGATAGCTGCGGCACTGTAACTGCATTCTTCCTCCATCTTTTGACCCTTCATTTTTAAGCAGGCAATCAACTAGTTTCTTTGGGTTTCTTTCTGGTTTCCATATACTATGAAGAGTCTATTTAAATGATGAAGGATGTTCTTACAAGTACCAAATAGTTGGCAGAAGAATATGTCCTTCCTAGTCACAGGGATCAATATTTAATTTTGTTTCAGAATCAGTTTTATCACTATTGAGATATCCCTCAGGGTGAAATTCAGCTTCTGTCTCATGTTTGGTACTGGACTGCCATCTAAATCTGTGGTTTTCCTGTAGTGCGTTCACATGGCAAATATTAGTAGCCCCCATCTGAGCTGCTTAATTCCTTTGTCATTAAACTTCCATTTGCTTTTGATCAAGAACCGTGTAAACGTAAATGCATATGTAGCTCTTAGTCCATGTAGCTGATGCAAGGGGGAAACTAAAATTGTTGTGCCCAAGCAAGCTCTTTCTCTTTAGACACTCACAGATGTGTGTGTGCGTATGTGTGTGTGTACAAGAGTATATGAACTCGATGAGCAGTTAGCTGCTGCTGCTGCTACTGTTATACATATATGAATCTAGACTATTCTAGGTACAAAGTGCCTAATCTTTTTTTATTGATTTCCAATATTATACCATACTAATTTATTGCTCATGGTCCATCTAATATACTTGTATTTTATGTCTGTATAAGAAAAACATCTTAAGTGCCTCACGACCATTAATGCTAATGGGGTAGTGTGACTAATTGTACACATATTGCAGAGACTAGTTATTCCTGTAAATGCATTTACCATAAACAAAACCACATTGTTTAATTTTCAAGACCTGAAACTGTAACTCCATTTTCAAAGTATTGCCACAATTTGCCCTTCCTTGATCTGACTGTATTGTGAAAATTAACAGTTGTAAAGACAACTCAACTTTTTTAAATAATGGGCTCAATTGGGATTATTTCATAAAAGAGTATCTGTCAGAGATTAGTACAGCATTATATGGAATACTGAAAGCATAGATACATTAGCACCCTTTGATGTGATGATGATTGATGATACAGAGTTGGCTATGTATTTCTCCTCCGCTGTATCTAGTGGGACGCAACAGATTTAATTCCCCAGTGAAGTTGCTAGACCAGTGTCCTTGTACAGGATGTTCAAGCAAAGAAACCCTCTTTTGCCAAATAAACATGTTTTGATGTCATTTATATTCATTTTCAGTTTACCAGAGTTATGTGTGAAAGCATGATTATTTACAGCTGAAAGGAATTAACAAGATAATACATTTCAATGGGGCTTTCTTTCCACATAATTATTGTTTCCTATCTGCTGTTAATTATCTCCTATCAGTTTCACAGGTTTATTTAAAATCTTATATTTGGAACTAAAAAATCTTTTATTGTTTCTAATCAAATTCAATATAGTCATAAAATGTGGACAGTATTAATTACTATGGGAGTAATAGATAACTCAAATTCACAACAAATTAGAAAGCTGAATGTAAATATATTAGAAATTTGATATTGAATATGATTTCATGGCTAAATAAAGTGGCTATACAAGAAACAGACTCTTGGTGAAATTTAGGATCAAATTTTAACTTGAAGCTTTTGTAAACAAAGAGTTCTTAAATAAATAGGTTTTTTTGCATTGCCTCTGGCTTGGTATATCTTTTTAATGGGACTAAGTACCTATTCTTCACCACTTACTAGAGGGGATGTTCTGAGTGACTATTAGTGTGAATTCATATATTTCTTGGCTACAGAACAAGCAACATGCATGTACTTCAACATTTTTGGTCATTTATAATTATAAAGGGCTAATAGATGTTAACATCAGTAAAATGTGTTACAGCAGAGCTGGACAGATATTTTCTATTGGAACAGTTTAGTTGGAAGATGCTAATTTGTCAAACCCAAAATGTTTCATGAAAATGAGTCTGATTCAATTAATTTTCAGGCTTTCTGGACTCCTGGGACAGCTGGCTCATTGTGCTGCCTGATTCCCAAGGCATGACTATAGGGAGCCAGCAAGCTCAGGCAGCTGCTGGCTGAAATTGACATTTTTCTCAGTATCACCATTGATATCTGAGTACGAAGAATTTTAATTTCAGTCAGTGGCTGGCAGGATCCTGGAGAGTTTATTTTGTTTCAGGAAGACTATCTGTCAGCGCTTCCAAAACTAACTCCCCATGTCCCGAATTTTCCTGTTCTCTGGAGACTTTAAAAAAAAAATT